AGATAGATAGATAGATAGATAGATAGATAGATAGATAGATAGATAGACAGATGTATAAATGAAAAAAAATAATAAGAACCTATAAGGTGTTGGGCACTGGGGTTACTGATACGAAAGTCAGACAGTTCTTGATCTCAAGAAGTTTATATTTTAGTAGGGGGAGATAACACTTTCCACTGTTGTTCTGGTCACAATAATAAATAAATTTTCTTTCAGAAAAGGTGTAATATTTGGCTGCTCTGTGCCTCCATTTACCATCTCTATGACTTCCCAGACCAAATCTCCCTTCTCTGGCCATCACCCTTTATAAATGTATTATGTAGATATGGTCACAGGTTACATTGCTATATAACACATGTTTTACTTAATAATAGCTAATTGTATATAATGTTCTAAGGTTTACAAAGAGTTTTCCTCTTAGTATAAGTATGATTACCTCTACTATTGAAAGAAGCAACATGGCATTGTACAAAGACAGCAAACCTCAGAGACAGGAAGACCTGAGTTTAAGTTTCACCTCTAACACAGACTTCAGGGGTAAGGAACCTGTGGCCTCCAGGCCACGTGTGGCCCTCTGGGTCCTCAGTGTGGCCCTTAGACTGAATCCAAACTTCACAGACCAAATCAGGGAATGAAGTTTGGATTAAGTCAAAGGGCCACACCTGAGGACCTAGAGGGCCACATGTAGCCTCGAGGCCACAGATCCCCCACCCCTGGACTAACCTATATGACCCTTACTCACTTAACCTCTCAGTGCTGTAGACCAGGGGTATCAAACATGTGGCCCACAACACTCCCGAGTACAATCTGAATCTGATTAAAATGTAGTTCCTATATGATTTTAATGTGTTTATGCATTAATTTAAAAAAAGAAATAGATATGAATGTGAGTGGTTTTCTAAGTCTATGTGTGATCCTCAGGGTTTCTTATGTATGATTTAGTGGCCTCTGTTTCTATTGGAGTTTAACACCACTGACCTGCATGGGTAGATGGAGTTTTCTCAACAGAGAGTTACTTTTACCCATGAAATCACGAATTCAGTCTCTTTCTTTGTCTCCTATTTCTTCCTTTTTATTTTATTTTTTAACAAATAAGGAAAAGCAGGCCCACAAAGGTTAAGCGTCATGTAACATATGATGGAGCCAAGACCTCAACCCAGGTCTTCAAATTCCAAAGCCAACACTTTATCTTCTATAACCTTCTGCCTCTGATAAAACATAAAATTATAAGAACTGCCCATTAAAGTCTTATTCTACCTAGCCTGGGATCTCAAAGGTTATGCCTAGTGTAGTACAGATTCTGACAGATTCCACTAA